GGGTTATTCTAGGCTAGGCCAGAGTAACCCCGGGGTTACTCTGGCCGGGGGGTTAATCCGGCCTGTTACACCGGTTCTCCCAGATTAGAGTATGCGCACTTAACCAATACACTAAACTGGCACTACACCAAATCATGCATATGTATAATTTTGCCATGGTAAGAGCATCATGCTGGTTCATTGATAACAAATGATGTTGAAAGATGAGCAGGATGAACAGAAAAAATATGGCACATGGAAACAGAAAATGATGCAAAGTGATGGGTTCAGATCTCAGAAGGAGATGCAAAACAGAAACAGGACTTGTTTTGATCCAGACAGGGATGAGGAATTTGAAATTGTCCTTCTTACCATCTATAGTGATAAGTCCCTATTTAAATCCTGAGCTACTTTGGTTAAAGAAGGTGGTTGGTGATAAATCCCACTCTCATACTGAGGATCCCTTATGTTCAAAACACGTCTGCAAAAATCCAACAAGGATGCTCAGTACCTTAATTGTTTTGTTTGTTTGCCTTCTAACCTTGTTGATTTCCAGCTTGGGTCTGTATTAAGAGAAAGTGTGGTTGTGAAGATGCCATATAAATTAAGAAAAGAAGAGCCGATACTCTACTTGAATCAGCTGCCTAGGGAGGTGGTTAGCTCCCCTCCACTGACAGCTTTCAAGAAGAGGCAATGCTTTAGGCTGGTCCTGCATTGAGCAGGGGGGTTGGACTAGATGGTCTGTATGACCCAACTCTATGATTCTATGGTTGTGGTCACATGCGTGAGATAACGTGGGGGGGGGGAGTGAGGCTATTTGCTCTGTAGGAATTTGACCCACATTTGCGTGATCACACAGCCCCTGGGTGCTGCATGATCAGACACAACCGCAGGTGAATTGGGGGGGGGTGTTACCATGTGTTTCCAGTGCACTTCAATGAGGGATCAGTGATTTGCATCCCTATGCAGTGTGTGATGATGTGCATACCAAAATGAGGGGCAAAACAATGGCATGGAGTTGGGATGGCCTGATCAGACCATCCCGACACCATGGGAGTGCGCTGGAGCGATCAGACAGGGGGAAAGTCCGTTCCTGGCCTGTAGCAACCCATTTGCTACCAGACTTTCCCTAGTGGGTTTTTTTTGCTCCGCTTCTGCAGTGGAGCAAAACAGGTTGCTGACAGGTGAGGGACGCTTGGCAGATGATCTTATGTGATCACGCCCTTAAAATCCACCCGGTATTCCCACCTATGGTGCAGCTAATTCTGCATGTGATCACAGCCTATGATTCTATAGTTGTTCACAGTTCTCCCTTCCTCTCCCCCACAGGTATATGAAAGAGGAACTAATGTGGACCAGTTTGTGACCCGCTTCCTGCT